AAAAGAAGTCGCTCTATAAAAATATTGCAAAAGCGTCGAGAAGAATGGGAAAAGTCGTGCATACCACTATGCCGGTATAGTAGTACTCATGAGAGTTCCCTCTTCACGGGCGTTATCCCAGCAAACAAAAAAAAAAACCCCCTTCAACGATGATTTTTGTCAACACTCTAACTACATAGCCAATAATTTTATGTGCGCATGCGTAAATCTTTTTTTGTTTGTATTTGGAGATCTGTATCGTCATTAGATTTGATACTGGGACGTTGAAATTGCAGAGAAATCAACTTCAAAGCACCGCTCACGCCAGCCACCTAATGCTATTTGCACTTCTTCAAACAAAAAATGGGTTATTTTTCTCACATTTTTGAAAGTACACTCACGCACTTGGTGAATTACCAAGAAATGAGATTAAAAAAAAAAATAATAATTAAAATGAAAATAGGTAAACAATTTGCTTACGAACAAACAGTTGGCGACGCTAAGCGTTGCAAGCGCATGAGTTGTCAAACAGCCTTCGTCTTGCATATAAAGTATCACATTAGTGAATTTTACAAACAGATTTATGCGGTTAAATCAGACAACGCATCGGATTATAGTGTCATATTACTATGTACACTTCATAAAATAATTTTAGTGTCATACTGATCTTCCTGAAAGCGATTGAGAGACGGGCGTAAAAATAATGAACAGAAAATTCCCCACCATTTTGGTTTATCGACGTTTTCGGAGCAAAGTGTGCTAGGGGGAATGCATTTGTGCACAGTCATATCTATTACTTTATTGGTGCTGCGGTTCTTAATACGTACAAACATAGTATCTATGTATGTACATTAGGGTGGCTCAAATTGTTCGGACGAAAGTTTTACCACAAATCGCATGGTAGTTTCGGTTTCTATAGATAATTCTATGAGAAAATGTAGAAGAAACTATAAGTCGGAAAAATAAAAAAATAAAATTCTTTTTCTCAAAATTTTATTTTTTCGTTCTATGCTAGTTTTACAAAGTATTAACCTTTGGATACAAAATGCCTTTATTTTAGTTTATAACAATTTTAATTTATTAACCATATTTTCCATGCGAAAATACATTTCGTGTCAAAATTATAAGCGCACCACATATTGACAAGTTTTACCATGTATTTTTTTTTATTAAATTTTAGTAATTTTTTTTTGTAATGATATAATTGAATTAAAAACTAACTTTGTGCGATATTACAAAAAAACAATCAGCAAACTGTGGTAAAAAATTCAAGCTTTTTAGTTGAATTTCTTAGACAGTCTTTGAGTGTGCAGTTTTGTAGTGCATTCAATGTTAATAAAATAAAGTGCAAATAGCCAGAACTTACCGTTGATTTTTGCCAATAAGATAAGGTGAAAAAATTAATTTTGTGCAAAGATAACTTTTTCACTTAAAAATGCGCAGGCTCGAAACTCATTTGTGACCTATGGTTTCCTCATACACTTTATGTTAGAGTTATCTGTAGAACCCGAAAATACCACACGATTTAGTAAAGAAAAAATAAACGACCCATCCTAATGTACATGCATACATAGTTCAAGCCTAACATCATCCCAGCGTGAGTGAGCGCTCATTGCAATTACATTGAGCCTTGACACTTGAAGACATACAACTAACAAGTCCAGCCACATTCTTTCGAGCGTACATTACTAAGCGATTAACACATGCTCACACATTTATGGTCACAATAAAATAATAAATGGCATATGAAATGTGTTGACAATAAAATGAAGAGCAAATAGATTAAAAATTTTGTTGAGTTTCGAGCTTAGAAATAAACTTGACTTACAATTAGCTGTGATTTTGAAATACAAAGTAAAGCAATACAATTTATGTAGTCATAAGTACACTTTGAATTATGTGTAATATTTGCAGTTATTTATTTTTGTATTTCTAAAAGTTTTATTTGCGTTTAAAGTTCATTAAGTTAAAGTAGCATGTAAGCACAATCTGGCAAGTCATTAAGTGAAAGTTTGTGTGTGTGTGAAAGTAAGCAAATATTTGCGTGCACTTGATTAGCTCGATGTGCCCCTAAAAACAATTATTATGAAATTACAAACACTAATCAAAGCTTTTACCCGAGACATGCATTGGCACCCTTGCGCTTTAAAAGCATTAGTAAAAATTAGTTTAAGGTGGCAATCCAACACATAACATTTTTATGTAAATTAGACACATTAAACAGATAATACCACCAGTGCGAAAAAATTAAGCTGTGTGTAGTATTTTGTTGTTGATTTTGTACGCTAAAATATCAAAAGAGTTAAAGAAAATGGACAATTCAAGGACCACTTCGAATGCCAAAAAAATATTTAAAAAAAAAAAATTGCAACCCTGCTGCTGCTACTTATTCAATGTGCATGGAATAAAAGTATTCTTAAGCAATTTTCGTTATTCATCGCTTTTTCTAAAGTTAAGGTACCTTATTTATTTATTAAATTGCGATTTTTTGAATGGCAACCCTATACGAAATTGTAACTTAGTGAAAGCTTCCTTAAAAACCTTTCGATTGATAATATTATTGTAGTATTTTACATAACTGTATTCAATAAAAATGGCCTAAAGCTCATTCAAAATTGTCTAAAGGTTTTTTAGTTCCCTTTATAAATAAGTGGCAACTCGTTTTAAAAATATTTTCAAGGCATAATAATATAATAATATTTTGGCGCTTACACGTTTGCTAAGTATTTGGCCGAGCATCTCCGCTTTACTTTACCTTACTTTATAAATTGGTGGCAACTCTTTTTTAAAAATATTTTTATTACTGCAGTGCTTTTTAATACCTTGCATTTCGTACACATATTTTCATGTTTTAATTAGCTTACAAGCCTAATTATTTAAGTAGGCGGCAACCCTAATAGCAAAAAAAAAATTACATTTATTTGATCGAACTTTAAGCCGTATGTTGCCAATATCGCAAGTATTTTTTTTTGTTTGTATATATAGTTTTCATTTATTTTATTTTTTAATAGGTGGCAACTATTTTTAAACTATCGCTGAATTAAAGCGCTTTTAAATACTTTTAATTTGGTACCCACGTTGCCATGTTTAGTTTACAAATTAATTGGCTTTCAAATTTAATTCGCTATAATTATTTATGAGTTGGCAACACTAAGCAAAAAAAAATTGCAAAAACTTCCTAACTCTTCTTGTTGCTTGCAAAAACTGCTAAAAATTTATTTTTGCTTGTTTGCCAATATTGCATATCTATATTTTTTCCAAAAATTTGTATGCTTTGGCCAACAATTTTTTTTTTTTCGTACTGACTCTATGTGTTTAAACATCTAGATATCTTCCTGTATCCTGGCTCAAAAGTTCTTTTGCCTCAGATTTCTTGGCCAATTTTCGCAGTAGCATTCGCCCACTTGCTGCACCTTGACCAAGAGCAGCATATGTATATTTTAATCACTTTAAAAATAAACCGCCGCATACCAAGGTTTTAACATCTATATTGCAAAATACATGCATACAATTGCTTACACGCCAATGCAGGCAATTACGCTCCCTTGACTGACCCGCCTCAATTGCGTGCGCCATCCAGAACAATCTTGGCAGGGATGTGAAACTTGTTTTTCACAAAAACAAAAATATACGCACACACACACACACATTTGTACATACGGAGGTGCAAAAAAAGTCACAAAACCAAATTTTAGCGCTTTGTTGAAACCCCCTTTTTACTGCTAGTATCTTCTTTTTTATTGCATGTATATATATCTATGTATGTATATGCATTCGTGTATTCGTGTAAAAGTAAAAGTTATCGCTTGTTAAATGAAGCGAGCCGCAGGCTGTTGAATCATCTTACAGGAACAGCCCCGCTCGGCCGCGTTGATCTGTCGATGTTGATGAACATTGGAATGTTGCTGACAGACATGATGCCGCTGATGATTAAATCTGGAGCGCATACTTATGTAGTTGACCTACCAATTATGTATGTATGTATGTATGTGCAAGCATTTATTGGCATTTTTCGCTATTTTTGCCTTTTAAATTTTTTTTTGCTTTAATAAAATCGCACATTAAATAGCTAGCTGACAATCGCCGCCGGTCAAATGCTACAGTTATTCAGACTCTTTTCTTATTATTTTATTATTTTTTCGCATGATGTCCTTTCTAGTCTATTTTTAAACACAGCCAGGTATTCTCATGTAAACATGTGTAAAAAAATATGTATATGTTGCTGTCCACTACTCATTTACCATATTTGGCTTTGTTTGTCTTCTGCGCAGCTTATTATTTTACTAAACGAGTTTATTTTGTGGGGAATAACGTAATTGCGGTAGACATTTTTTTTTTTCGGTTCCAGCTGAACGGTTTTATATGCGCACTGTAAGAGGATAACCAATTTACATAGTTTGCTATGACGTCGGATAACGGCTGCTGTGATGGAAAAGTACAAAGAAGCAATTTTGTAGGACCATAAATGCAGAATTTAATTTGCTGCAAGCATTAAGTTTATGGCAGATAAATAAAAAAAAAAAAATTAAAAGAAAATGTAAAAGTAAAAAATGGCCTTTTTATTCTAGGTATATACTTGTCTTAGGGTAACTCTCTACAATCCTTCACTATTTATTCTGTTAGCCAAGCAACGATTAAATGTTTACAGTGCAGTAACACTTCCTCAAAAGTGGCTGCCGTATGCAGAAGTACCTTAAACGAGCTTGCCGTGAAAGTCACCATTTACGTGGCCTCTGCCACTGTCCCGCTCTGGCAAGGGCAAAGCTTGTTATTTTTAATGAATATGATTTTCCGGGTTTTACTGACCCCGACTCTATGGACGTTTGGACCTTCAACAATACGTTACAATAGGTTACACGATGATTCTATCATATGTGAAACTAATACAGAGTGGCAATCACCGTAACCTACCCTAACCTTAAAATTTGTACTAAATGAATAATTTATTTAAACATGCCTTTATATTAAACGCCTATTAATTACCTTATAAATAATTTCATTTCCTTCTGCATTTTTTTCAGGCGCCTTTTTATTACTCGCCCTTGGCGTATTAGCAATCACCACTGCTGTGCTGGTGAAAATCTTCCAACCATACGATTTGATCTTTAAATGGGTAAGCGTTTTAAAGATCTAATACTTTTTTCAGGAATTGGATAAGCTTATTTTAGTTAAAAACGATTTTTAAAATATATATGGAAATACAGTGACTCAAACGAATGTTCACAAGCTGATACTTTCTATATATTCAAAATGTTTTTCACGTTAAAATTTTTTTGACTTAATTTTACAACAAAAATCCTATAATTAAAGTTTCAAACTTTGTATAAAATTTAGAAAAATTCAAATACTTTTCGAAACTTCAAACTTTTCAAACTGAAGTTTGAGAATTTTTTTTTTTTTAGTATGCAGTTTTAAAGCCTATAAAAGTTTAGCAACAAAGTGCAAATTTCAAGCAGCTAGGAAATCGCGTTAAGTTTTAATATTTTATTTTTTTTTTACCTCAATTGTTTTTTGCACTTTTTTCAATATAAACATAAATTTCGTATGGAATAACTGCAATGAAATCAACGTAAGCTTTGATAAATTGCATTTTTTGTATTAAAAAAAAAGCTGCAAAAAAACCTTTAGCAAAAAAAGAACTAAAAATTAGCCCGAATTTCAGACGCTTCAAACTTGCACTTTATTATATTAAAATTGCATGAGCTATAAAATTACATAACAAAAAAATGTTCTAAAATTACAAGTTAAAAATTTTAAATTTTGTTGAAAAAATGTTTGAAAGTTTTAAATTACAAGGACAAATTTTTTAATTTTATTCAAATTTTTAAGAACTTTTCCAAATTTTTTTTTATAAAATTTGTGGTTATAAAATAAAATTTTTATTTTTATAAAAATGTTAATCAAAAAAAAGTCTCCTTGCGAGCGCTTGTTTGAGGCACTTTATAATTGTAATCATTATTTTTTCGCTGCAGAAACTAGTTATGGAAGATAAAGGCGAAATTTTCGATCTATGGGCAAAACCTCCAGTAGATCTATACATAAAGATATATCTATTCAACATAACAAATGCTGAGGCTTTCCTAGCGGGACGTGAAAAAATGAATGTCGAACAAGTTGGACCATATGTGTACAAGTAAGTCAAATAAGAATAGAATTTTTGTAAAAAAAAACAATTTAAAAAAAAATTTCATAGAGGGGCTAAAGTAGGCTTAAAGAACAGTTAAATCAGCCAATTTTAAATGCTAACGACTTTATTTTGAGCGACAGCTAAGGCAATAGTTCTTAAAGCTCACTTTTAAGTTGACTATACTGTAGAGCAAACCTAAACCAAAAATTTAAAGTTGGCTTTAAAAGTGAACTCCTAAGTCATCGACTGTTTAAGCTTTTACTAGGTTCTAAAGCTAACTTTACTGTCGACTATGATTCACTGAAAGTCGACTAACTTTATTTTACCCCTAATATTGCGCCATTTTATAAAAGAAAAACCAAGTTTCAAATAGATTTCTACACTAAACTAATACTCGCCTGTACTTTACTTTCCTTCTCCCCATTCACAGAGAAATTATGACCCACGAAAATATCACTTTCAATGCCAACAACACAATGTCGACTAGGCCCAGTCATCCTCTAGTTTGGCAAGAACATTTGTCCGAAGGCCATAAAGAAGATGATGAAGTGGTAATGCTGAATATCGCAATGTTGGTAAGTGTACAAGGCTGAAGAAGTAAATTATTATTATTTTTTTTTTGCTATCCCATTAAAAACGTCATTCAATGAAATTAAATTAAATTAATATATTTAAAATATTTATAAAGAAATTTGGCATCGAGACAAACAAATTAAAACTGGTTTGCAGCATTCGAATAAGTACGCTTACTGATTAAATTAAGTATAAATGACATTTAGTATGCAAAGCTTTTTCCGCCAGAAAGTTAAAATGTAAACAAAATACCTGAATTTTTGGTTTGGGGGTATTCACCTAATAGGCACATTCGGTTAACGGAGGTACTTTCACTTTCAAAAGTTACCACACAGAAATTTTACATTGGACAAATAAATGGAAATATTTTTTTAGAAAGGTTCTCCATACAAATCAACTTTAATTTGAGACGGTGAAATTCCAAAATAATTCAATTTGTATTTTGCACTATAAACACATTACAAGGTAAATTCATTCTCTCAATTCGTCGGCCATGCTTTTTTTCTGACGTTTGTAAGCACTTTAAAATCATATAAATTTTAAAATAAAAAACAATTAAATTGTTCACAATTGTTGTCGTTTGAGATGGAGAATGAGAATGTGCGTGTGTAAGTTTGAGTTTTGAATTTTTAAATTATTGCTGGCAAATGTCAGACTGCCTCTCAATGGTTTTACCTTATTATGTTTTTATCGTGGTGTTTTGTATTATTTCCAAATTTTGTTAACCCAAAATTTTTGCACTTTTTTGTCTCAAAAAAAAACAAACAAAACACACATCGTATTTTATACAATTTCAAAATTGTTTAAATTCAAAATTTTGCCACTTTTTGTCTTCCCATTCCATTACCAGAACATAGTGAATACCCTCATTGTTTAAAAATAGCCTCTAAATGACCAAATCGAAAATGTAAACAAACATTTGGGTGCTTTTAGTATTAATTCATTGTCCTTCGAGGTGAAACAAACACACAAAAAAAAAATAAAAATAAAAATAAAAAAATCTACTTTGGGTCAATAAACGTTACAAACTTGTATTTGCAATGCATAATCATACATTACATGTATACGTACACAGCTAAAGATGCACAAAGTGCAAATTCATTGTGGGTTCAAAAAATGTAAACAATCAGTTCAACAAAATTTTCCCCGGTTGAAAAAACTTTCCTCTACAAACATTGCCGCTATTAACAAACAAGAAAAAATTTGCTAAAAAAAAATCAAGAATATTACACAAATAAAAACAACGCATGGAAATCCCATACTTATATGTACTCGTACATATGTACATATGTACATATGTGTCACTGGCCTAATTGTCAACTAAGCCAGTTGGAATTTAACATTAAATAAAGTGATGTGAACTTGACTATGATATGCTGACACTTACATGCTTACATACATAGTTATTACCTCTGCCCATTGCATTCGTACATACCTCCATACACTTGCTTGTAAACATGATTTAGCGAAATTACATGCAACTTGCCCCAACGCGCGCACGAAAAAAAAAAGTAAGGAGACAAAAATGCTATAATAATATTTATTTAAGCTGATGTGTGTATGATTAATGCCTTATTTGTCTATGACCGCAACTAGGCTGTCAGTCACTAACAACGCTGGTTGCTACTGTTTTAGTTGTAAATATGTATTTTTACACTTAGACACATTTGTCAACTTAACTATCTAACTGTTTTCTATGATTCGTTTGCGCACAGTTTTGCGTCACTTAAGCTAAAATATTTTCTTTCTTAAGAAAGTAAATAATAAGGTTATGGTTTTACATAAAATAAAAAAATTAAGTTATAGTAAAAAATAGGTGCTAAATAAAAATATTTTGTTATTGTTATAGTGGCGTATAGTCAGCCAAAAACGCTTAGGCGGCTACAGCCCCAATTAGGAAGAAGAAGAATATTTTAATTTTTTTTTTTTTCTTGGTAAAAAATATTTGTTTCCTAATATTTTTTTCAAGTTGTGGTAAACATATTCTTACAAAATTTAATAGCTATTTAACTAAATATTAATAGGGCATAATTTGTTTTATAAAATTATTTAAAAAATAGATTTACCTTTTCATAGCCTTTTTTGATGTAATTCTTTTTTTTGTGTTTTGGTAAAAATATTTTGAAAAAAGTAGGTTATAATTTTTCATTAAATAAATAAAAAATATAAGCAAAAAATTGCATTAAAAACGTTTCAGACGAAAGCTTCATAAACATAATATAAAATTTATTGTGAACTAGTGGAATTTTTTTCGAAACTCGAAAAAATAGGCAAATGATATTACTTTGTATAGCATTATTAAATCAAAATCTAGCTATTTTTATTGGGGAAAAAATTGTGCCGTTAATTAAAAACAAAACTAAAAATTCAAAAAAAAAAACAAAATGTCCGCAAATTAAAAAATTACTAAAAATATTTTTAACAGCATAGCATATTTTTATTATAAAAAATTTGCCGCAAATTAGAAAAAAAAAATACAAGTTAAAGAATTTCAAAAAATACCAAAAATATTTTTCTCATCATTTTATTTTTATGTAGTTTATCGAATCACTATCTAGCTGATATTTAATAAAAAAAAAAATTTTACAGAAAAAAATCCGAAAATCAAACAATGCTTAACATATTTTTATGATCTCTTACCTGCAAAAAAAGGGAAAAATTCCAAATTTTTTTGCCCTAAATTATTTTTGTTTAACCTTTTCTAAAGCACAACTTCTATTTTTACTATAAACTTGAACAATATTTTTGGAAAATTTTGTTTTTATGTATGGCAACTGTCGAAAAAACCAAACTCATTCTCAGTTAGCAGCCACTAATAATTGATTTCGCCACAATTTACTACATACCACTAAAATTCCACAATCCCAACTATTGTATTATTTCATAATTAACTTTATTCAATGGAAAATTTTTAATAGCCCAACTATTGACGTTCGATTTTTTTCGAAAACGTAGCAATTTGATTAATTACGTCATACAACACGCTCACACACCCCTTCTACCGCAAAGATATTAGCAAACAAATTTTTAAGACTTAAATAACTGTTTAGATTTGAATTTGAAGCTCAATTAGAATTTTGTTGGCAGGGTAAGCGTACCAGTTTTTTCTAAATATCTACGTACTACGACTACAATAGGGTGGTGGCTTACAAAAGACTTAAGTAGCGAACTCGAACCCGTTTGCTGATAGACAAGTAGGTTTTTATTTCATGCGCCATCATTTCAGGATATGTAAGCATATTTTTTGTCCTAAGCTTTTTGAGCAACAAATAAGCTGGCGCTTTATAATTATTATTATAATTTTTTTTTTTTTTTAATATAAGTAAATAACGACTTCAAGTAGATTTGTGCGCCCCAAAGAGGATTTGTGCTGACGTTGACGAAGTTAAAAAAAAAAGAAACGCAAAAATTCATAAGTATTAAATACATATAAGCACATCTTTTGCATACTGTACGCAGCTGTTTGATTAAAATTAATCTCCTGTTAATTTAAAGCTATTTAAAGCTTTAATTAAAATAAAAGCAATTGCGAATTTATAATATGAATTAAAATATGTATATAATAAAATCAACATATTTGTTTTGCATTGCAAAATGGAAAGTTACCATTATTGAGGTATTTGTTGTTTACTTTGTTATTTGTTATTTTTTTTTTGCAACGTTGTAGTTTGCTTTTTTTTTACTCATTTAACTCGCTTCCGTCTTAAACGTCTCGCTCGTCTTCATTTCATCAGTGACAACACAGTAAATCTGGCTAACACATCTCCAGCGCGTTCGAAGGCGAATCAAAACAAGTTCATAAAATTCTTATCGACAGCAATGGAATTGTGGAATTCTTCGTAAACGAAACTTTGATGACTTCAGATAAATTTCGGCTATGATAAGCCAAGTGGCGAATAGGTACTGTGCCTGAAAAAAATATTGTATTTGAGACAAAAAATGTTTTCCTACATACATCTGTATGTATGTATACTTTTCAAAAGCGCTGTCTCATCAAAAAAATAAAAAACTGTACGTCAAAATCAAGCTTAAGATTTTTTTTTTTGTCACGCTGTATTTGGTTAGTATGATGTCAAATAATTAAAGTAGTTAATAAGCACTATATAATGACTATAAACATCAATTTAATCACTGCCATAAATTAAAATTTTAGCACAACTGGTATGCTAATCATGGCACTAAAAATGCTAACAAAAGTAGTACTATAATGCATGTAAAAAAAGCCCTAAAACCATCACTATCAATGTCGTGTGTTCAATAAAAATAATTTAAAAATTTTCTTTAAATTATGTAAATTTTTAGTAATTAGAGATACTGTTGATATCTACATATTTACATACATATGTATGTATGTGCCTTATTGTGTCATATTTGTATATGGATGAACCATAAAATTGGCTCGTTTAAACGCTGACAACACCGAATGACAAACCAGGCGGACCTTAATCGACATCAATTAATTATGAAAATATAAAAAAAAAAAAACAAATCAATAACAATTAAAATTAAATGGTTCCAAGTTTCTAGAACGTTTTGTTTTTTTGTTCCGCCCCAAAGAACGAACGAACCAACGTCAATCACGTCACGAATAAACGATTACTGAACTGCTTACCGCTTATGACAATATTCAATTTGTGAAATTCCAATCTATATAAAATACCGTATAGGCACGGCATGTCAGTAAGTAGCCCTTTCCTTGTCATGGCTGCTGGTAGGAGAGCGCGAAAATTACAACACAATCAGCCGTCAGTCAGCCAATTCATGCATTATGGATGTGTCCATTTTTTCAATTAATTAAGTTTCAATTAACTAACCTGTAATTTGGTTAACTTTTTCCACCGGTGACAAAGTTCACAAAAAATCGCAAGCTATCTAATTAAAATGAAGTAATAAATAATTTATTTTTATTGATAGTTATGCAATATTTTATGGCTGCTTAAATGCATTGACTAATAAATATTTAGATTAAAACAGCTTTTATTGATTGACAGCTGCAGTTAATGGAATCTTTTATGAGACTAGAAGTGGGGCACAATAAAGACTTTATACTATTTATAACCTAAATGACGATTTTAAGAAGTAGAAATATTATTGGACACCAAGCTTAGAAAATATTTGAAAATTTAATCAATTTAGATCTCTTAATAAAGTTTAAAAAAAAAAATAAACTTTTTTTAGTTTTTCTTGAAAAAAAGGAAACATTTTTAAAAAAGAGGAAAAAATTAAAGAAATATTTAGTAATTTTTATTTACTTTTTCATTTTTTTGACTTTCTCAGGAGTTGGAAAATATATGACGATACAAAAAAGAAATTTAAAAAATTTTTTATTTAAAAATTGTTTAATTTTTATAAAATATTTTTGTTTGGTTTTCATACCTTTAAATTTGTTTTAAAAAACACTGAACAATCAAACAAATATTAGGTAGAAATTTGTATACATTTTTTTTTAATTCTCCGGAGACAAAAAAATATTTTGAGAAAACTAAAAAATTATTCAATACTACCTACTTGTTTTTTTACAGAAAACTCAAAAAATTCCAGAAGTATTAAATAGTAATTTTTACACAATTTTATAAATTACAAAAACAATACAAATTGCAAGAAATATCAAATCATATTTTCTTAATTTCTTCCTTTAACTCTTTTCTAGTCAGAGCAAATCGTTCCAAATAAATAAAAATATTAAAAAAAAGTACAAGAACTATTTAGCAATTCTTACTGGATTTTTTTACCATCTCTGGTGCCGAGAAATGTTTTGGAAAAATTTCCAAAAAATTCCGTATTTCTTGTTAATTTTCTTTGGAGTCAAGAAAAATGGTTCAAATTTTGTATTAATAATTTAATAAAAAATAGAAAATTCACAAGAATTATTTAATAATTTTAAACTAAAAAAATAGAAAATTCACAAGAAATATTTTATAATTTTAAACTAATTTTGTTTTTTTTTTGGACTCTTTACTTGTTAAATTTTTTCCAAACAATTTAAAAATTCAGAAAATTATAAAAACTAAAAAATACGTGTTATATTTTAATAAATTTTTTTGGTAACATTTTTTCTGGCTTCATTATTTTTTTTAGATCCTTAAAAACAACTTAGTTGATTTTTTAGTTTTGAACATACGATTTTTTAGTTTTTTTTTTTTGAATTTTTACTTCTCTTACATAGGTACTAAAAAATATTTTTTTTTGTTTTACTTAATTTTTTTTTTTAGACAATATATTTTTGACTAATTTTTTCGGGATAATGTTTTTTTAATCGTTTTTTTTGTTTTTTTTAGTTTTTTTTTTGTCTCATTGCCTACATATACGTATGTACGTATATACATACATAACTTAAATATTAAGTATTGCATACAATTTTTCACAAATATCTACGTTTTTTTAATGAATTTTTCGCTTTTTTCTTTTATAGGCCATTTCCCATTTAACCGCCGATAAACCGTATTTCCTGCGCATGGGCTTGCGCACACTCTTTGCCACATCGAAATCACAACCCATTGTGCGTATGACTGCCAAGGAATTTATGTTTGGTTATTCCTCATCGCTAACGACTCTGGGCAATACGTTCTTTTCGAATTGGATATCTTTTGAGAAAGTGGGACTTATCGATCGGGTAAGTGAAAAATTAAGGGAACTTAAAAAAAATTTGTAAATAAGTACTTAAAGAAATATAAAAAATTAAAAAAAAAACTAAAAATAATTTCAAAAATTTCATGTGAAAAAAATTGTAAGGAGTTTAGTCAAAAATTGAATAAGAAATATGTGCATATTATTATAAAAAAAACTGTGCAAATAAATTTTTTTTTAATGAAAATTTAAAAAAGTATTGAATAATTAAAAATAAGTATAGGAATTAAAAAAAAAACATATTTGAAAAACATTTCAAAATTAAATGAATCTTAAATATTGAAACTAAAAAAGTTAATTGAAAAAAAATACAAAAGGTTGAAAAAAAGAATTTTAGGATCGTACGTGTGTAGTAAAAAAATATAATTTAAAAAGTGCGCGAAGAAAAATATTTACAAATTTTAAAATCTTAGAGATAATTTAATTATTAAAAAAGTATCAAAATTTAAAGAATCCGAAGTATAGAAATAGAAACAGAAATTGAAAAAAATTACAATAGCTTTTATATTGATTTGTTTGAATCTTTGAAAAATTTAAATATTGAAATAAATTAAATTGCGAAAAATTTTAATAAAAAAAGGCAATTTTAGATCATATAAAACTATATTTTTTTTATATATTTTGCTTATGTATGTGCATATATATGTATGTGTATATTGAAAAATCCCTTCTTCACTAATATAACCTACTTCTGCACTTCTCCACCTAGATGTACGACTTCAGCACCGACTATGAAACATTCTACACTGGCGCCACAAATCCTGGCATTTCTGGCCTCTATGCCACCTATCGCGGCAGCACCAACTTGCCACAATGGGATGGTGAACACTGCAGCAACATTGAATTGGCTTCGGATGGCACAAAATTCAAGAGTTTCATACAACCCAATGAGACTATTAAATTCTTCAGGAAGAGCATGTGCCGACCCATCAATTTGGTAAGTTTTATGCAAGAAAAATTTGAGGTTTTCATTTATAATAATAAATTTTCGCTTTCTTCACACAACAGTATCGCACTGGTGAACCGCAAACTTATGGCAGTCTAACTGGTTATAAATATGTTTTCGAGGAGAATGCATTCGATAATGGCATCAATAATGAAGCGAATAAATGTTTCTGCAGAAAGGGTAAGTTTGTGTGAATAGTTAGATAGGTTTATATATATATATATATATATATATATATGTACGTTTGCACGTGCGCCTCCACATGCGCATGCATACATATATGTAATTATAAGTAGTAAGGATTAAATGCATATATCTAACTGTCATCAATCATGTACCGATTAGTAGTACATATTGAATGCAGTGTACATACGAAAGACTTAAGCAGCGAACTTGCTAATGTATGCCAGCACAGCGCTCAATCAAATGCGGCTCAATTTACGCCAGCTTTTGCAAAGCAACACAAGTTCTAGTCTTAAAACAAAAAAAAAAACTGTAATTTACTAGCGCTGTTAACATATATTTGTATATTCGCTTGCTAATGTGATTTGATGGTAATTTAAATTGCGAAAAAAGTGAGAAACCCTTAACCGCATTAGTATCTACACATGTAGTAATTGAAAGCAAGGCAATCAAAGGTATTATTTTATTATGGTAATTACCAATCGTCTTGCCACTTAAAAATACAGGCCACAATCAATGCGAGCCAGACGAAACGACTATTGATCATTTTTCACTTTTACACTTTTACACATTTCCTTGATTGTTTTATTGTTCTTGCTTGCTTATTAATTGCAATCAAATTGATGACATGATAGCATTCGTGATTCTAAGAAATAACACAACAACAATGCGCATGAATCGGCAGTAAAGCTGCCACAGGTTCGTGCATACCAGCGCAACAGCTTAGATATATGTATGTACGTATGTAATTAAAGAAAGGCGAAAATCTTATTGCATGCGGAAAAGTAAAGAATACTATTGCTGCCATACATGGGTGGCGCGCATGCACCGGCAAATTAATGCTGCAGCATATCGCCGGTATACACACACATGCATACATATGTACATATATCTATGTGTGTATGTATGTATGTATGTATGTACATGAAGTCGACTTGCTAATAACAGCATACCAGTTTGATAGCTACACCTGCCATTTTTCATCGCAAACAAATTAACACTTTATTGTATTCGGCGAAAAATGCAATAATAAAAGAAATACGAAAACAGCGTCATAGTTAGTAATTAACAAAACACAATAAAAGTAGAGCAAATAAACGCACGCTAACAGCTACGCATCAATGAGCTCAGCTAGTGTGGAGCTAAGTGTCGAACTCCATCCCAAAAAAAAAAAAATAAAAATAAATAAATAAAAAACAAAGTTTAAGCAAATGGAAAAATACCGGTGGAAAAAGTAGCGAAGTTCACGCGGAAAACAAATTACGATTTGATTAATAAGGAGACAGTATGACGTCGCGCTGGCGAGCTGAGAAAAATATGAGCAAGCCGACATTTGAATATGCAATACATACGTATGTATACATATATACATACATATGTATATAGTAAACATGTTAGTTGGATGAGCAGTTAACATGTCCCTCCCCTCACCACATTTTGCATGTTTAACAACGCATCTAGAGCGCGTGCGCGCGCGGCACACGTACATTGTAGAAGCGGGCGTTCGAGTGGCGTGGGGTGCGCAGACGATATAAATAGTCGTGACTATAACAAAAGTTAGCACGTGAAATTTTCCGTGCGCTCAGGCATGACATGCCGCTTTGTTTATGCTTATGAGCAATTTAAACACCTTTTTTTTTACATGTACCTTTGCGTGTTACTACAAACTGAGCACAGGTTCAATATGTACATATGTATTTACATAAAAAGTATGAAAGCGACACTTTCAATTTGCCACACGCGATGCGCGCACAACTAACGGTGCTATCATCGGCGTAGCCAGAATGAAATTTAGGTGGGGCAGAGCTCGAAACTATTAAGGTAGTATTTCAGGGTACTTTTTTTATATATATATATATATATAGGGAAAACTTGAACTCGCGCCACCACCGGCCTAGCGATGGGTAAATTCTATATTCGAAGCCTCGGTATTCGCGTTTTAATCGAATTTTATCTCAAAAATGGCGAATTTTTTAAATCGAACTTTGTGTTGCTAAAATTCGGATAAAATCGAATTTTTCCAGAAGAAATCGAATTTCATCTTTATTTCCAAAAAATCAACTCTTTAACTTGCTTATTTCTGACTAAATTTGCCATCACTGTGTGTGGCACTCCATTTGTCTTAGGGATTCAAGTAAAAAAAAA